AATACACAATGCAAAGGTTGCGATTCGAATTCGTTGTAGCAGCGGCAGATAAAGACCCGAAATCGAATACGTTGAACATAACCTCTGTCACGACAGAAGAAGGAGAGAAGTATGAACTACCCGAAGAATACAAAAACATAACCCACCACAGTGAATTGAGGAAGACAGACTTGTACAATAAAGTAAAGGCTAATGCCAAAAGACACGATAGAAGAATAGGATGGGTACAACTGACAGAGGAACTACGATCTACATACTCAGATGAAATGGGAAATATACAATTCAAAGGTCAATTGCTAAATGTTACCTTTGAAAAGGACAAGAATCAAGATAGCACGTTAAATAAGCTGTTGGAACAGCTGGTTATATCCAACACAAAACCAAATAAAGAGATAAACCTGAAAAAGATCACAGAAAAATTTGTACTGGAGAAATATGCACATAAGACAACAAATACCCAGCAATGGATGAGGATGTTTGAGAAAGAATGTGAAAGATTCAAAATAGAAGAAGATAATATAAAGATTGAGGTATTGAGATTATTTTTAGATAAATCTTGTATGGACTGGTATCAAGCAACACTTTCACAACTGGAAATAAACGATAACTGGCCAGAATGGAAGAAGAGATTTTTAGAAACATTCGCAGATAAAGGATGGAATTCATGGAGATATGCCCTCGCATTTAAATACAAGGAGGGCGCCTTGATTAGCTACGCCACAAAAAAAGAACGATTACTATTAAATGTGAATAAAAAAATGGATCCAGCATCATTAGTGGCTATTATAATTGCCTGAATGCCAGACTTTATAGCAGACAAAATAGATCAGGACGAAATTAAAGATTCAACTAGTTTATATAATGAAATAAGGAAATATGAGAGTGTAACCAATAAAAAAACCTTTAAAGATTACAAGCCGGACAATAGAAAGAGGATGCTGGAAAAGAAACCATGTAGTACATGCGAGACTTTAGGGAAAGGAACAAGATATCACCCCGAAGAAAAATGCTGGTTCAAAGAACATGAAAAGAACAAAAATAAATCCGGAATTATAGGAAATACGTCAGTACTAGAGGTGGAACTAAACAACCAAGAAAAAAACTTGTAATCACACCATTAATAAAAATAAAAATGTTACTGGATGGAAAATTAGAAATGTATGGGACCTACGATTCAGGATCCCAGATATCCCTGATAAATGCGAAATTAGTCAGAATAATAAACGAAAACAAAGAGAAAAACTAAATACTCATAAAAACAGTTAATGGTGTGAAAAAAACAGATGGTCTAGTAACAATAAAGATAAAAATTTTTGACATCGAAGATGAAGTAGAGGTATTTATAGTGAATAGAGAAGATTTTGAAGACTTCCTAATTGGGTTAGATATGATAAAAAAATTTAAGCTAACCCAAGACGAAGAACTAAAGATATCACAAAAAAAAAAAACAGAAAATATTGAGCAATGTTTGGTGAACTTCAAGGAACATGTCGAAGAAGATGAGTTTCAAAGAAAGTTGGAACATTTAGATAAAATGAAAAAGAAAGAGATAGCAAAACTAATAGATAAACATAAATCAGTATTTGCCAAGGACAAGTATGACGTAGGAACCGTTAAAAACTATGAGGCTCGAATTGATTTGCTAGTGGACAGATACTGTAGCAGGAGACCATACAAATGCAATATAGATGATAAAAAGGAAATTGAAAAGCAAATAGCAAAATTACTAGAACAAGGATTAATTGAAGACTCTTACAGCCCCTTCGCCGCCCCTGTTACGCTGGCGTATAAAAAAGACGAAGGAAAAAAATCACGACTTTGCATCGACTTTCGAGATTTAAACAAAAATATAATACCTCAGGCACAACCATTTCCAGTAATAAGTGATATAATACCAAGAGCTAGAAAATGTGAGTACTATACAACATTAGATATAAATTCAGCGTTTTGGTCGATACCATTACGTACGGAAGACAGAGGCAAAACAGGATTTATAACCCAAGAAGGACATTTCCAATGGACTTGCTTACCATTCGGCTTGAAAACATCTCCGGCGATATTTCAACGAATTTTAAGTAACATATTAAGAAAACATGGACTGACGGAGTATGCAGTGAACTACATAGACGACATACTAATACACTCGCGGTCATTTGAAGAACATCTAAAACACATAGCACGAGTTTTAGAAGCTATAAAGAAAGAAGGCTTTAGATTGAAATTTAGAAAATGCACGTTCGCAGCAGACTTAGTTAAATATCTTGGACATATAATAGATAATAATACAGTTCAACCACTGAAAGATAACGTCATCTCTATCCAGAAATTTCCAACCCCAACAACTCAAAAAAACGTAAGACAATTTCTAGGGAAAATAAATTTCTATAACGAATATATACCAAGAAGCTCGATATTACTAGATCCCCTACATAAACTTTTACGGAAAAACGAAAAATTTACATGGACAGATGACTGTGAAAAAGCATTTACGAAAATCAAACAACTATTATGTTCTCAACCAGTGCTGGAAATTTTCGATAGAGACCTGCCTATAAAGATATACACAGATGCGTCGCTACAAGGTATAGGCGCAGTGTTGAAACAAACACAAGATAATGGCAACGAAAAACCAGTCGCTTACTTTTCAAAAAAATTAAATGAGGCACAGAAAAAGAAAAAGGCAATCTACTTAGAGTGTTTGGCGATTAAAGAAGCAGTGAAGTACTGGCAACACTGGTTAATAGGGAAGTATTTCGAGATATATTCTGACCACAAACCATTAGAAAGAATGAACATAAAAGCGAGAACAGACGAGGAATTAGGCGATCTAACATATTACCTATCCCAATATAATTTCACAATTAAGTACATTCCCGAGAAAAATAATATAGAAACAGACTGCCTAAGCAGAAACCCTGTGCTGGAGCCTGAAACAAACAACGAAGAAACACTAAGGATAATGAATTTGATGAAAATAGAAGAGATAAAGTCAGATCAAAGAGAATATGAAAAAATAGAAAAGCTAAAAGATAAAATAATAAAAAAGGATGGAATAATATACAAAATAATTAAAAACAAAAAAAAAATTATTTTATCAGAGAAGGCTAGCATGAAATTAATAGGAGAGGTTCACTCCGATTGGTACCACATAGGTATAAGACAAATGATGAGCAAAATCTGTCCATACTACACCGCTAAAAATCTAACAGGGAATATTAGGAAAATATGTAAAGAGTGTGAGGTATGTAAAAAAAATAAAACAAGAGGCCAAAATAAATTTGGTGGGATGTCACAATTGGGACCAGCAACTCAGCCATTTGAGATAATGTCGATCGATACAATTGGAGGATTCGGCAGTACCAGATCAACAAAAAAATATATGCACCTACTGGTTGACCACTTCACGAGATATGCTTACATTGCCACGTCAAGAACGCAAAACGCCACGGACTTCATAAAACTTATAACAGATATAATAAGATCAGAAAAAGTTGAGACAATTCTCACGGATCAATACCCAGGTATAAACTCGAAAGAATTCAAGGAATTTCTAAAAGAAAATAACGTTAACCTGATCTTTACAGCGGTGAATACACCATTTTCAAATGGTCTAAATGAAAGACTAAACCAGACACTAGTAAATAAAATCCGATGTAAAATAAACGAAAGAGACAGGGGAAGAAAAGCTTGGACAACTATTGCCAGAGAATGCGTAAAAAGATATAACGAGACGGAACATACAGTCACCGGTTTCTCACCAAGATACCTGTTAGACGGCACAGACACGAGTATTTTGCCACAAGAAATAAAAGATAAAAACATGAAGAAGGAAAACTGGGAAAAAAACAGGCAATCAGCGCTAGATAGAACAAAAAGATCTCATGAGTACAACAAACGAATATTTGATAAAACTAGAAAACAATATGAATTCAACGAGGGAGATATGGTCTACATAGAAAACGGAAACAAGCTCAATAGGAAAAAACTAGATGAACTGAGAATTGGACCATTTAAAATAGAAAACAGAATATCGAATTCGATTTACACAATTAAAACTGGAAGAAGAAACCAAGATACAAATATTTTCCACGTTACAAAGCTACTTCCGGCGACGGCCGGCAGCGATGATCGAAAATCCCAGGTATTTTCGCCCTAGGAGGGGAGATGTAAAGAAATGCTTTCTTTAATTTAATTTAAATTGGGCGCGCTACGCATGCTCCACACGCCCCTCTATAATGATCCG